AAAAGTTTAATAACTTTTAAAATAGTTAGAAATATAGAAGTTCTTTGTCCGTTTGAAAGCCCAGATAATTCTTCACGACATGATGATATATATAGTTTAAACTTGTAAACTTTGTTACAAATATAAAGCATGTACATTTTTTTTAAAATTTTATTTATTTATTTATTTTTTTACTTTCTTTAGATCCATTTTTTACTGCAGAAGTTAACTCCTGCCTGATGGAGCATGATACTGGACCGTGCCGTGGATATTTCCCCAAGTTTTATTACGATGCCAAAACCGGACAATGCACTGAATTCATTTATGGTGGATGCCAGGGCAATGAAAACAGATTTGATACAAAGGAAGAGTGCTTGAAGGAATGCAGCAGTATGCAAAAAATAGAGAAAAATATTGCTTTAAATAGTAATGTTGAAGTTTTGGATTATATTAATAATAATGATATTTCGAGCATTAGTACTTTTGATTTCGAAAATTCGTATGCAAGTATACCACATGGAAAGATTATTGAGATTTGTGACGGCATTTATGATAGGTATTTATTTAATGAGAAAATTGATAAGTCTAATTGGTTGGATTTATTTAAGTTTAATCTTTCTGAGAATGTTCTTTATAATGGTTTAGATTTTTATAAACAAATTATTGGAATTCTACAAGGTAATTCCTTTTCTGGTGCTTTTGCCAATATTTTTTTGCGTTTTTTTGAGGCCAAATTTCTTGAGCATAATGAATTTAAAGCTTTTAGATATATTGATGATTTGATTTTGTTAAATTGTGATAATTATAATTTTATTTATAGTATTTATCCTGGAGATTTGGTATTGCAGAAAACTAATGAGATTGTTTAAATGTTGAATATTTAGATTTTAAAATTGATATTGTTAACGGTTTTATTAAAATTGGTGTTTTTGATAAAAAGAAAAGCTTTTAAATTTAAAGTTATATTTTTCTGCTACTTTAATACTAATTTGTGTAATAAAATTTTTAAAAATTCAGTTTTTTCACAATTGGTCAGGATCAAAAATATTTGCAATAATGTTGAAAGTTTTCGGGAAGCTGTGAATAATTTGAGCAATAATGATTTTCCTTTTAATTTTTGTAATGTTAATTTTTTAATTTAGAAAATGATTGAAGAATTCTAGGTTTTTATATATTTTTTTCTTTTAACAGGGCGCAATTCAAGTCTTAACTGAGCAACCGCAGTTAAGCATTCTATTAATTTGCTACGTATCTCTTTCTCTTGACTTTCTATCTTTTGTTTTCTATCTGAGCATTGTAATAGAGGGCGTTGTTCTTTTAGTTTTTAGTGTTTCCTTTTCATTCGGCTTGCTTGTGAAATCGATGATTGATCTGGTTAAGTGAGTTTTTATTTTCTGATGATTTTGTTTGAGTTTCTTTTCTAAATTGGCTATTTGTATTTCATGTTTTTTCCTGAACTTCTAGACAAAACCATCGGGGTACTGAGGGAATTAATTTAGGCATTTGCTTCTCCCTTAATTAGAAATGGTTTTGGTTTATGGCTACCGGGGCCGGTATCCCCTGAAGATGCCGGCTTCGGTGGTCATATTTTCACTTTTATTTCCTTCGTTTGCTTTATTCATGACTGTTAGGTCATGCTCTGGTTTATATATAGCCAGCGGTCTCTATGCTTATTCTGCAAATGGTACAAGACATCAGTATAGAGAAAAGCCACAGTTTTATGGAAATGAAAAGTGTTAACGGTTTAATTTTTTAAAGTTTGAAAACTTAATATGACCACTGCATTATTGGGGCTCATAAAAATATGCAAAAGCTGAGAATAAGGCAGTGATTTTGATAATTTTTACGAGGGAGAAAAATGTCGCTAAATTGCGATTTTTTAAAAAAAGTTTAATAACTTTTAAAATAGTTGGAAATATAGAAGTTCTTTGTCCGTTTGAAAGCCCAGATAATTCTTCACGACATGATGATATATATAGTTTAAACTTATAACTTTGTTACAAGTAAAAAGCATGTAAATTTTTTTTAAAAATTTATTTATTTATTTATTTTTTTACTATC